AGATCTGTCGGCAGTCATGAGTGACCAGAAGAGCCCAGAGAAGGCCGCAAAAGAAGTGGCAGAAGGAGCTGGTGGTGAGGACCTGGAGCAGCTGGCGGCGCTGATCAGCGACTATAACCGGGCAGTGCGCTGTGATGACCTGGCAGGGGTGAGCGGACCACGGAACCCGAACACCATTCGGAGGGAGGCAAGTGCTGGTGTGTGAGGTGTGTGTCCTGCAGGTGTGTCGACTCGCTGAGGAGATCGATAAGGTCCGTTCCTGCATGAACCAGCGCAGCAAGGCGCTGGCCTGGGCGTCGGAGCGAGACGCGCAGCTGCTAGGAGAGTTGGCGGCTTCAAGCAGCGCCGTGCGCAAGGGACTACACCAGCAGCGCCTCAAGCGAGTAAGGAGATGGCAGTTAGGGAGGTGTCTCTCAGTGAGTGGTGAGGGGATGTCACATGTTGGTGGGTGTGTCTGTGTCTCGCTGGCGGTCGCACGCAGCCTGTGCTGAGGCGCCTGCACAGGCGGCGTCGGACGAGCCCAAGGCCGACTGGGAGCAGACGTACGACGAGATGGAGCGACACTTGAAGGAGGCCGCTGAGCGCCAGCGCAAGAGAGGTACATGGAGGAGTCGGGAGAGAAGCGAACGGTTCGACACTGCGCACCTCGTTGGCTCTGCTGTGTGCAGGACGCGTTGCTGAGGGGCAGGCTGGGCAGTTCGCAGATGACGAGGCAGTTGAAGACGAGGTAGGTGGGGTCTCTCGTGCCTCCTTTCCACACGCATCTATGCGTCTGTGTGTGCAGGAGGAGATGCGACAGGACATCGGCATCCCCAGCGCATCGCTGCCGGCCGACATCGACGAGTCGGACGAGGCCAAAGCGGTTCGCGATGTGCTGCCCGCCGAGCGTCTGGAGGCCTGCCCTGCCCCTGTTGTGGTGGTGGACAGAGTGGAGCACGTCAAGAACTCCATGGTGGGGATGTGGGATGGGGGCACGATGGATGCCGTGGTGAGGGCCGTCAACGCCAAGGACTACAAAGTCGGCGGACAGTACTCCTGCGACAGCTGCGTCATCACACGCCACGTGAGCGCGGGAGCAGGGCAGCTAGGCAGAGAAGCTATCACTGACGCGTACACCTGTGTTGTGTATCTGTGTATGCGCCTGTGTATGTCTGTGCAGGGCGGCAAGTCTCATCACAGCGCCGAGCGGTGCCCTACGGTCATGTACGGCTACCAGCTCCACTTCCCCTTCCCGACCATCGACGGTGTGCTCAAGCGTGTGCTGCTGGCCAAGAGGCGGGCCAAGAACGAGGAGAAGATCACCGCCGAGGACATCAAGAACATCGCCAGCCACGGCCCGCACGCCAGAGAACACATCTTCCTCAACGCGGCCACCAAGATGAGCGAGATCGACATGACCAAGGCGTTCAAGATGATTCCCGTCGTGCAGGTAACCAGAGAGAGACAGACACGTACATACAGGGGGAAGGCAGGACGGGCGGGCGGGAGAGGGGCAGGGAGGCGGACGGTTTCCTGTCCATTCGCTGATCCTCTGTGTTGTCTGTGGCCGTTCAGGCGTCGGGACAGACGGTGCTGCGCGATAGCGATTCCAACATCGTCTTCTACGACCGCAACCACAACGAGACGCAGCGCATCTCGCTCCCCCAGCTGCGTTCGTGGATGGAGAAGAAGAGATTTCTGCGCGCGCGGGTGAGCTGGTCACAACACGTGTGTGTACACACATACGCACAGACCCATGGATGTATGGATTCATGTGGCTGCCTGTCTGCGTGTGTCTGTGTGGCTGTCTGTCTGTCTCTGCGGTCAGATCGTTGGTGATGCGGACATCGTCGGGCTGCTCAGCCTGTGTCCGCCACGCTGCCATCGCTGCGGCTGCTGGTGCAAGGGGTTCCCCGACGCCTACACCCGCAGCCAGTCGGCCAACTTCGGGCTGGCGGGGTACCAGTGCGGCAACAGTACCTCGTTCGGCGGCACGTGCTCGTCGACGCCGCAGCGACCGGAGGAGAACGTCGCGTCGCTGTGGCTAGACGAGTATGTGGTCGCCCTGCTGGCCTACTTTAAGATCATCCCCTACGAAGAGTAGACAGGGGATGGGGCGGGCGAGGGCAAGGGGGGGAAGACAAACGTGTTTTTATGTGGGCGCATGCATGCGATGTGTGTGTGTGTGTGTGTGTGATGCGGGTGCTCTGAGCTGTGCGTATTTGTAGTATTCTCTCACACTCTGAGCTGTCCATATTTGTAGTTCTCTCACAGTCACAGCTGTCAGGTCGTCTGTGCGTCAGGGGCTGGTTTCGTGTGTGGTGGTCACCAACACATCTGGTCACCCACTTTGTCTGTCCATTCAGTGTCCATCGCTGCGCATTTGTCACTGTCTGTGCATACATGAGTGCGTGTGTGTGTGTTCGTGTGTATGTGTTTGTGTTGGGAAGCAGCTGGCAAACGTGTTTTTCGTGCGAGCGCATGCATATTTGTTTGTTCTGAGCTGTGCATATTTGTTGTTCTCACAGTCACAGTCACAGCCGTCAGGTCGTCTGTTCACCGACTCTCTGCTATGAATTTGTCAGTGTGTCTATAATGCTTCCATGCCTTTACTCGTGTGTGCATGTCTGTGTTGCGCGCGTGGGTACATGCATGCGTGCACGTGTCCGAGGTCTGAGAGCTGCGTTTCTTGTCGTTCTCAACGCCTGTCTGGTGCTCTCCGCAATCGGCCTTTTCTTATGTGTTCCACACAGCGGATCCATTCATATTCTTGGACGCATCCATTCATTGCATGCTTTCATCGGACAGAGTCGTCTGACCACATCAATGTCACCATTCACGTGCAGCGAATCGGCACAGAGCAATCAAAAATAAACCGAACTTTCAACACAGTACGCTCAGCAGGCTCCTTGCAGTGGTGACCTGACAGACACACGGAGGCACACACACACACATACAGACACACAATGTGAGAGCACACGCATTCGAGTGGCATGCAGGCGTGTTCGTTTGGCTTGTCCGTTTTCGGCTTCGATTGGCGTTCGAGTGCTGTTCGCGATTTCGATGTGAGAGAGGCTCCGTCGTTTTCAGCCCCTGGCTGGCTGTCTTGCCCTCACCGAATCACACGAGCAGTCTCTTGTGGACGATGTTGCGGCACATGGGCTTCCCGCTCGATGAGACACGGAATCGGGATGTCACGAGCAGGATGTCGACGGTGCGCCGGACGCGGGTGAGCGCAGTGTACAGGTGGCCGTGTTGAAACAGCTTGCCCCGGATGTCCAGCGCCACACGCTCCAGGGTCTGCCCTTGCGCCTTGTGGACGGTGAGACTGTAGGCGACCTGAAAGGGACAGACAGAGCACAATGCGGCAACTGAGCGCAATGAAAACGTGCAGCTGACCTTGAGAGGGAACTGGCACCGCACGAAGCGCTTTCCCAGCGTGCCCTTCCGGTGGACGGGTTGGATGGTGAAGTTGATCCGAGGTAGCACAAACGTCGGATACTTGGGGTCGGGATGGATCTTCCTGACCTCGACGAGGTTGGGACCCCTGCTGCCCACATAGATGACCTTCTCGTTGTTGCAGAGCCCGTACCGCTTGGACAGGTTGCGCAGTACGATGCAGAGAGCGCCGGGCTTCAGGTCGAGCTGGTGCGGTGGCTTTGGCAGCTCGTCTTGGGTGGCCATGTACTCGTCCTCCTGGTCAACCTCACTCTCATCCAGAGGCAGGTCGTCAGTGGACCCGTCCTTGAGGGGCCGGTTGTGCGCGTAGTGCACATCCTTGTCTCCCTTCATGTCATCGATGATCTGCCTGTTGAAGCGGTCCACGGCTTCATTGGTCGGGCACAGAATGGCACGCGACGCGCACGCCTCAGGGTCGGTGTCGTAAAGTCGGTTGGGGAAGGCGAACTCGATCGCGTCCCTCGTCTGCTGCGTGGAGGGCAGGTCCAGCTCGATCCAGTGGTCCGCGTCTTCCGCACGGAGCGTCTCGTCTGCAGTGGGATCGATGCGGAAGGTGGGGATAAGTCCGTCACCGACCTGCACCACAAAAACAGCGAAGCGTTCTGAGTCGGTGCGGTCACTTCCATCCCCTTGCCCACCTTGAGACACAGGTCAGCATAAGCTTGGTCGACGATCCGATGGTTGGTCAGCAGCTCGTACCTTTCGAAGCACGGCCAGAGAACGGAGGACTTGATAGAGGCCTTCCAGGCGTTGATCTCGTTGCTGTCCTCTCCTCGCGGCAGGACGGGAGTCAGCTGGCGGAAGTCGCCTGCACACACGAACACCTTGCCGCCGAAGGGTCGGTCGATTCCTGTGATGTCTTGGAGCATGCGGTGTGTAGCCTCGATATTCTTCACGTGGGCCATGGTCACTTCGTCCTGCACACACACACACATACACACACACACACACCACATACACACACTCCGTAGATACATGTGCTTGTGTGCATTCAGATGGAGCCGATCAGGCCCGACCCAGATGAGCAGCTGGCTGTGGCGCAGCAGCTCTGCCTTATGAGAGTTACGGCCGACAGTGCACTCCACCGGCTCCTGCGAGATGTTGTCGACCACCTTGATTTTGAAAGCGCCGTGCGCCGTGTGGCCCCCAGTGTAGTTGAGCGCTGCCAGCGCCGTCGTCGCAGTGGCGATGGCAATGTTGCCTCGCATGCGGACCGCCGCCAGCAGGCACTGCAGCAGTGTGGTTTTCCCGGAACCGGCTGATCACCAGCAAAGACACACACGCGCACGCACGCATGCACCCCCCGGTCCACGCCGCCTGTGTGTCTGTCCCTGTGTCTGTCTGTCTGTCTGTCTGTTTCTCACCCAGTGCGGGCACAATCACCGACATCGGAATCACCCCGTCCACTGTCTCGTTGGCCCTCGACGGGTCCGGATAGAGGTATTCGAGCACGTCATTGTAGACCCTCAGCTGCTCGGGGTCGGTCTCGATGAGCGAAAGCAGCCGATCATGCTCTCGCCGCACGTCGGCGAGGTTCTCGTAGCTCTGCCGCTCCATGCCTTCGTCAGCAAAATCCTCAGGCTCAGGCAGGCTGAAGTCCTTGTTGGTCTTGCCTGGGCTCACGGCATCGATGTCCTCAGAGATGTCGCGCAGCAGCAGCTGGTAGGCCGCGTTCGGGTCGAGCCCGTCGTCCTCCTCGTAGTCACAGACGAGGAAGTCCCGATGCGTCTCGAGGATCTCCGGAGCGTCGCACTCGTAGTTGACAATCAGTTGGACGAAGAGCAGACGTAGCTGGAACGGTAGCAGGCCGTGGTCCTCGATCGCCTCCAGCAGCAGCGTCTTCACGAACTCGTCTCCCTGGAGCAGGCCGCTCTCTCTCGCGGCGTTCACGTAATGGTCATACATCTGCCCGTTGATAGTTCGCACAGCCTGCAGCATGTCACAGTCAGCAGCAGGCAGCAAGAGAAGACATTCGCAGACGCCAGGAATGGAACGATGAATGCGGGAGGAGTTACCTCGTAGGAGCCCCGCGCCTTGGACGTCTTGAGCAGCAGACGAAGGTAGTAGGGCTCACCCTGCGAGACGTTCATGGTCTGCAGCCGTGTGCACACCTTGTGTCCGCTTGCTCGCTCGAAGAAGACGTCACCGTTCTTGGTGCGAAACGAGCGCTTCATCTGATATCGCTCGAAGAACTGCTGATACGTCACGTCGTCGAACTCAGGATCGTCAGGCCGCGCCAGCCAGTGCTCCAGCTCGTTGGGCTTCGGCTGGATTACCCGCCCCTGCTCGCTCTGCCTGCCATACACGAGCTGCACCAACTTCCGCTTCTCTGGCAGGACCACCGGCAGAGTGATGACCGGCGGCTCGATCACCGTGATCCTGTGGCTCAGGATGCGGTGGCAGGCCTCGCTGCCGCAGATGACCCGACCCTCCTGGTACTCGGCGATCTCGTCGCGCGCGGGAGCCGCTCGGCCGTGAGCCCCGCCACTCGCACTCGCACCCGCTGAGTCCGCCCCCGCCAGCCTCTCGATATAGGAGCTCTGCCTCGCCCGCTGCTCGTCTCGTTGCTGCTTGGAGCTGTGGCCCCTTGCGGCTGTCGGCGCCGAGTCGGTCGCCATCTTGATGGTGAAGGGGTTCTTGTGGGGTTTCCACATGTACCGGAACATGTAGATGATCACCTTCATGAACGCTACGACGTCGCAGTGCACGTGGCAGCGCAACAGCGCCAACAGCACAGGCGAGTAGGACGCGATCCAGCGGTCAAGCACGTCTCGTCGTCGGAAGATGCAGCGGCCGTGGACGTTCCAGTGTGTCTCGTTGCAGAGAGGCCACGGCGCCCCCAACTTGCACAGGGTGCGGCACCGGTCGCCCAGCAGTTTGTACTCATCCAGACTCTCCTTGTTGGGGCGGCAGTACGGCCCGCATCGATGGCACATGAACTTGAGCACCAGCTCCTTCAGGAAGGGGTTGTTTCGCGGCACCTCGGCCGAAATGTACCGGTCGATGACGGCGGGGTCGGTGAAGTCAAGTTCAGTCTTCGGGCTCACGTGGGAGTGAGTGATCCCTCGCTGCTGGTACTCCATCACCGACAGCAGGTACACGAGCTTGCCGAACTCGCCCGCTCTCAGGCGTGAAAGCAGCGCCTTCTGCTTCTCGTAGAACACGCGAGATGAGATGTCGGGACGGTCATAGGCGGTCTGGCCTGCAAACGCACACAGAGGCACCCGCATCACACACATACACACACACACACACACAGATGTATGTATGTATGCGTATATATGCATCTACACACCGCTCCTGTGCGTACATGCGTACCTGGCTCGATAGCGTTGACGATCTCGTCCCACTTGTCGTTGCACGTCATCGTGATGAACAGAGACGGCTTGCCGAACTTGCCCGCTAGCGCCAGGGCGTCGCGGAGACTCCACCGAAAGTAGCGAGGCCCACCCAGGAAGCTGCCAGGCATGTAGATATAGCCGGC